CATTACATTTGGATGTTACAGAAAAAGACTCTGCTTTTCCTTCAATAAGAAATCAGATTAATGTCCTATTACAAATTATGGCCTCCAGAGCTGAAGAGCTTTCATCCTCTAGCTGTTCCTTGCTACAGTCATATTCAGAACATGGGAGAAGGAAAGGGAAAGGATTTCCCTCCTGTCTTAAACAGAAAGGATTTCCCTCGTGTCTTAAATACATGTTTATTTTCCAAAGATTACTGCATCAAGATGTCTCAGGTAATTGGCCACAGTAGTACTGTCATTTCAAAACTAACAAGCATTCACTTTGAATACTAGCAGCTGCTTGTAACAGTGAGAAACAGCACTGAGTACAAGAGAGTTAAAGATAAAAGCTTCTATTCTGGTGCTATTTAATGAGGGATTGAGAGGCACATGCTTCACAAGGAAGTGAGGAAAATGACATTTACACAGTAAAGACTCTGATAACTCCACTGATGAAGGATTCCCTCATCCAAATTAAAAATAATCCAAAAGATTGTGGATGAGAGAATAATCACTCTCTTTTAATGAAGAAGAAATCCTTAGGAGTTGCTTTCATTTGCTTCAGAATCGGAGAAATGAGACCTCAGAAACACACAGTTCTTAAAAGTGGTTTCTCTGCAGCATGCACATTATGTTTCTGTAACTTAAAAAGACTGGTATGCTAAACCACTTTGTTTCTAATGATTAGGAGAGATTACAAACACATCTGCGTAAGAAACAAAAATTACTTCAGCTTTCAGAGTAGAAAATTATTTTCTTCCCTAAGACAACAGCAATTCCTGCTGAAAGGAAGTCATAATGCTGAGTTAATGCTACATAATCACCAGCTCCATCTTGTTACTACTATGGAACTGTGCTCTTAGGTATTTCTGACTTGGAATCTTATCTTACTTACCTGTATTTTCTTTGTATTTGTTTTTGGCTGCAATATAGAAATATTTTTTCAGAATAACACCTCCCTTACCATCAAGAGCCTACTACTGCCAGAACAAGCAGATACAGCATACTGCATGTCTATATATATATACACATCTTGAGAACCGCTATAAGCAGTATTAAAACCAATACTTAAAGCTCTTAAATTTAGAAATCATTTACAAAAAGACTGACTGTGGAGACAGTGTTCTCACGGGATAATGGGTAATTGGTACATGAACTCTGAATAATCCCAAAAGATACAGCAAGGCCATGAGAGGCCTGAGGAAGCTTAAGCAAGCAAAATAGAAAGAAGCTGGAATTCACTGAGTTATTAGAACTGTGGGCTGTTGGCAAGCTTTCGAGGTCAAGTTCTCACATCTGTGCTTAACCAATTATGTGTTAGTCACTAAGGGTCTTCAAGACATGTATCCAATCATAATATGCCAAATAACTGTAAATGCATGTAAGAAATAGTATATAAGGAGTTAAGGCTTTGTAGTAAACGGCTTTTGTCTGATCATACTGATCTCTGACTGGGTCCATATATTCTGTGGCAACTGACAAAATACTTTCTTGAATTTTCCTCTTCTTGAACAGCCAAAAAGAAATGTTCAATTGCATAAGCATCATGTTGTGGAATATATATAAATCCATAAGAGTGAGGAATTTTTGGTAAAAGAAATTGGGCTAATTATTAAACACATATATACACACACACAAAAAAATATCTTGACTTGAAGTATGACATCTGTGAATTGAGGATTTTAGCCCTTTTCAGGGTTATCACACTCATAAACAATTGTTCTACTGCCAACCTCTGTTCAGCCATTCCCACTACCAGCAGCAGGAAATGTAAAGAACAGATCGTTGGGTGTATACCCATAGTCTCAAAGCCATCCTTCATAACTGAATTGAACTAAGTTCTCCTTTCCTGAAAACCTTGCCAGTTATTTTCAGCTCAGTGCAAGCATGCCTCCTTCTCTGTCTTCTTCATTTTTAAGATCCATAAACTGGTATCTCTACCTCTTTCCAGAACCTATTCCTTCTACTATGGCAATACACCTGTTGGGTGCTGCTTGTATGCTTGCTTTCACTTCTTTACTATCATACCATAGCCTACTAGTTTTCCCTTTATCCACACTGGACTTAAAAAAAAGAAAAAAAAAAGGAAGAAAAGAATAAAATTAACAAGCCTCCATAGCTGCAAAAAAAATATGAAACAGGAAGAAAAGAGCACACACTTCCCTCCCCCCCTTTTTACAAATTTAGATTTGTGTAGGAGCACTTCCTTGGAAATGTACATTAAACAAATACCCCGTTTATAGGCAATTTCATTTAATACATCTACTCATGTAGAAAGTCACACCACCATTTAACAGATTAACTATGACAGTGTAAAACATAATTTATTTTGGACCTTTTCTTACTATAAAGCTACAAATTATCTCTTACCTATACTGCAGTACTACACCAAAGTTACCCCACCTCAAGTGAAAATGTGTGTTTGGAAATTTCCAATTGCTCTACTCAGAGCAGCAGCATATACACCTTCCTGGTCTTGAGCACTTTAGAAAAGCAAAGGTGCATTTCCGACTGAAATTGGCCAGAGATGTCAAAATATACAAGAAAGATTTCTTCAGGTATTTAAACAAGCAGAAGTAGAAGGAAAATACCAGCTAGCTCTTTAGCAGGGGAGGTGAATTAGTCACCAACAATGCTGAAATGCAGAGGTTCTCAACACTTTCTTCACTTCTGTCCATACCAGCACTGTTAAACCCCAGGCCTTGTGAACAAGAATCCAGGCTCACACAAACACAGACCCACCATCAGTGAAGGAAGAGTTGCTACATGCACTATTACAGGAACTCGACCCTTACAGATCTATGGGCCCTGTCATTATCCACCTGAGGGTGTTAAGAGAGTTGGCTGACGCCACTCTGAAGCCACTTTCCATAATCTCTGAGAAGTGTGGAGGTGAGGGAACGTCCCAGAAGACTAGAAGGCGGCTAACACCGCCCTTATAATAAAGGGTGATCATATCTATAAGAAGGGCTTAAGGGAGTATCCAGAATATCACAGGCCCATCATTGTTACTTTGTACACCTAGAAAGGTATGGAATGAATCCTCCTGAGTGCTACTGCAAGTCAGGAGGACAAGCACATGATTGGAAAAAGCCAGCAAGGATTCACCAAGAACAGACTGTGCTTGACAAACCTTCTATGACAAACTAACCTGCTGGGTTGAAGTGGGGCAAACGGTGGGCATTTTCTACCTGGATTTCTCCAAGGCTTTTGATAAAATTCCCCACAGCCTCTTCCTAGAGGAACTGGCACATCATGGTCTAGGCAAGGGGTCCATGCAGTGGGTGGGAAACTGGCTGACCAGCCACACCCAGAGGCTGGTAGTGAATAGTTCCATTTTAAACTGGTGATCTGTCACAAGTGGGGTCTCCCAGGGATGGACAGTGGGCCAAATGATATTCAGTGTGATCTGGATGATGGGATCAAGCGTACCCCGGTGAGTTTGTTGATGATAACAAACTCCAAACTGTGGACACTTCAGAAGAGAACCACCCTGCAGGATTAACCTGTATAGGCTGGAAGAGTGAGTTAACAAGAACCTTACGAAGTTACAAGGACAAGTGTAAGGTCTTGCACCTGGGAAAACATAATCCCAAGGGTGCAGCACAGGCTGGGATCTACTTGGCTGGGGAACAGCTCCATGGGAAGGGACCTGGGGGTCCTGGTGTACAGCAAGCTGAGTATGAGTGAACAGTGTGCTGCTGACACAAAGAAAGCCTACAGGATGCTGGGTTGTACCAACAAGGGCATCACCAGCAGAGATAAATATGCCATTATCCCACTCTACTTAGCACTAGACAGGCCATACCTGGAATACTGTGTTCGCTTTTGATCCCCGTTATGCAAAAATTTTGGACAAGCTGGAGAGGGTCCAGAGAATGGCCACAAAGATGATCAAAGGACTGGGAAGGCTGCTGTACAAAGAAAGGCTGAGAGAACTGGCTTTGTTTAGCCTTGAATAAAGAAGGCTCAGAAAGACCTTATCACCATATTCCAGTATATAAACCGTGACTACAAAGATGATGGAGACTCCCTTTTTACATGGTCACATGGAAAAGACAAGGGGTAATGGGTACAAGCTACTCCTGGTGAGATTCTGATTGAACACAAGAGGAAATTTTTTCACAACGAGAACAATCAGCCAATTGAATAACCTTCCCAAGGAAGTGGTGGACTTCAAAACACTGGATGTTTCTACGATTGAGCCAGGCGCTTTTTTCCCAAGAAAGGTTAGACCAGATGATCCTTGAGGTTCCCTTTCCAAGCTGGTATTCTATGGTAAGGAAGACACTGAATGACTAGCAACAGCAAAATATTAGTCCATATCCATGTTATGGAGTTGTTGTGTTAGGAGTGACAAGCTGTTCTCTCAGCTTTAGCCTATGGGAATATCATTTGAATTCAATGTGGCATTTCAAATGCCATACCATGAGCCTGTATGCAGACTGCATTTGAACTACAACCAACTTGTAAAGGTTGACTAAGTTAACTTTCAGCTATCTCACTGGCATCAAAAGGGCCAATGCTTTATTTACATGTTTATGTGTTTGTTTTGGTAAATTCTGTGTCCAAGACAAAGACATAATTTCTCCATATTATAAAATACTTCCATTCCTCTTCTGAAATTACAAATACATTTGATACCAAAGAATACTCAATCACATTTCTTGAAGATTTATATGCAAATGCGCCCAGCCACAAAATAAACAAAATTGTTCTCTAAATAATAATTACATGAGGCATTTAAATCTTCAGACTGCATTCTTTGTTCCAGGAACTTCAGGACATGATTAAGTTTAAAAAAACAGACCTACCGTAAGAACAATTTTGAAAACATCTCTACCCAAATGGGTATTTCTCCTCTGTTCCCTCCTCCAGAAGTCCTGTTATTATTGTTTCCTTAGACATGACACTTTAAGCTAAGAAAATTTTCCATACAGTTTAATAAAATAAATAAATAACCCTTCTAATCAATGACTTACCTTTAAGAGAGCCAAGGCTACGTGGAAGATTATGTTCATACCCTGAAAATAATAAGAAAAATACTTCAATCAGTCCCAATACACAAATGTCTCTTCCCTATTACTAATCATCATGTGGCATCACAACTAGATGCTGCAGATCTTTCGGAATGACTCCCTTTCCCCTCCTACACTTCAAAGTTCATCATTAAAGCCCCAGGCCACAGTTTCTAAACTCCTGGTTGGGGTAGATGACAGCACTTTGGTGCTTTTGGAATCTCACTGTTCAATTAGTCAGGTGCTATGAATGTGAGAGGATATCCCTCCATCATTTCAGTCCATGTCAGTATTGATTTTCATGAACAGTGAAGCATATTGTAACAAGCAGGGCATCAAGAAAATGCAATAAATATTCCAGTTGATCAGATTTTGCCAAGTCACTTAGCTGTAACTAATCATGTACAATCTTTCATGCTCAAACTGAAAAAAACCCACAAAATAATAGAAAAAAAAGGAAAAAAAAAGACTCCACAAGTACACAATACACTTTTTTGCTGCTATTAGCCAAAAGTCAAAACTATTTCAAAGGTAGGCAAACTGATGCCTGTATCACACAGTTGCCTTCTGGTTTGCAAAACCTGGAAATACAAGTGTGCAGAAATCTAGTCACTGAAAAATACAATGATAATGTCCAGTCATTTAAGAATCAAAGAAAGTAAAATGCACTCCACTGACTACAGAGGGGTGAAAAAGGCTACATCTTCACTTACACCATATAAAATAAAAAGAAATACCTATCTTCTGCTTTTGTTCAACATCTTTTCATTCTGACAATAAAGACCTTGAGATTTTTGCAGGGTGAAGGCGAACACATATCCCGATTGAGGCTACTTTGGAGCAGCCTAACTGAAACTACTCTTAGGGTCCAGCTTGAAAAACCAGCTAGGGTCAGCTCAGCCAGAGGACACAACATGACAGCCTTCCTGACAGTACACACATTGCCTCTGTTGATGGAGGAGACTCTCCTGTCTACAGCCTACATATCTTGATTATTTAAGATTAGAAATATCTTTTTGTTCATCCAAATATGAAAAATACCATATGCAATTCTTACTTGCTGTACGTATGTAGGTACAGCACATAAGAACTATGTACTTTGTGTTCAGACTGTTTTCCTAGATTATATTTTACGAATCTTCTTGCCTGCTTGTTTAATGGTATGATGACTCTATTCTTATAATGTCTTTCAGAGCTGATATCTAAAACTGCCTCAACAGATTTGCACTCAAGTCACTACAATACATATTGTTGTGGAATAACAACAGCACTCTTTATAAGGCAATGACCTCCAAGGAATTTCTGGTTCTGCAATGGAGTATTTTTCCAAACCTTTTCCTGAAAGCATGAGACCATATTTCTGTAATATTACCTTTTATATAAATCTGCAGAAAGTTTTCAGAGGCATTTTCAGGAAGAACTGGTATTTTTTTATGTACATAATACTGTGCCTTGAAGGGAATTTACCATTAATGAGTCCTGGAAATGCTATGACATTCAACATAATGAATATTACAACACTCCACAAATTACTTTGCAATTTGACGCATAATCATCGTAACAAACTGGTTTTTTCCACTAGAGGTCACAATTGTAGCAGGACTGAAAAAAAATGCCTGGCTGTGAATTTTAGTCACGATCAACAGCACCAACAGCAGTAAAGTAAGTTTTATTCCAAATACCCATCTGAAGTCAACAGCTCATTCCACATGGTTGTGCCATTAACAACTTTTTACGTCCTAAGAGAGAGGATTTGATATGACCATGCAATCTATAAATCAGAGGCGTAACTACAAGCCTCATCACAAACACTGTTTTTTTCCTGTTAACAGATTGATCAGATTTTGTTATTTTACGAGTAGGAGTATTATGGCTAATTACTGGGTTACTTCCTGTGTATTTTCTGGCATTAAAAAAAAAAAAAAAATAATAAAAACCCCAAACATCCCCCTGCCAAAAAGCCCAAACAAAACAAAACAAAAAAAACCCAAACATCAACAACACAAAAATAAACCAACAAAAAATCGCAAAATAAAAACACCCCCCCACCCCCAATAAATGAAATCAGTTCATTTATTTTCTAAATACTTTTTTTCTGAGCTGCCCGAAACTCACATTGTTTCTGAATCCAAACTAATCAAAATCCCTCTTGGTACTCCTCTTACATGATCGCTCTTCAGATGGGTAGCAAATGAAGCAGAAATAGGTTTCCACCTGCCTTGAGAATCCCCAGCTCCTCTCCTAGCCCCATCAGGCAAGCAGCAGCTCACAGACTATCTGTACTTATAAGCTCACAGACTGTAAGTACTTATCTCATAGTACTTGAGATAACCTGTTCAATGCACAAGCACTCGAAAATTAGAACACCTAAAGGACTAAAAAACTTTGTATACAACTGTCCTGAGCTGCACTTTACTACTCCTGGCAACACAGAACAACCAGCACCTTCATCTTTCCTCAGGAGGAGAGGTAACCCCCAAATCAAGGCAATATTTTAGACCTGTGGCATCAGTTGCTGCAGTTTCATGCTGACCAGCTTGGACTTGGCTGGATTTGAGGGATTAATATACCCCTTGACAGCTGTGTAACTGGAAGTGGCATTTGGCAATCTAGAGTAGGCTTTCTACTCTTGTTTAGATTTCACAGAATCACAGAATGGTTAGGGTTGAAAGGGACCTTAGAGATCATCCAGTTCCAACCCCCCTGCCATGGGTAGGGACACCTTCCACTAGACCAGGTTGCTCAAAGCCCCGTCCAATCTGGCCTTGAACACTTCCAGGGATGGAGCACTCACAACTTCGCTGGGCAAACTGTTCCAGCAAATAATTTTCTCCTAATGCCTAATCTAAATTTCCGTTCTGTCAGCTTAAAGGCCCCTTGTCCTGTCGCTACATGTCCTTGTAAAAAGTTCCTCTCCAGATTTCTTGTAGGCCCCTCTAGGTATTGGAAGACTGTGATAAAGTATCCCTTAAGCCTTCTCTTAAGGCTGAACAACCCCAACTCTCTCAGCCTGTCTCCATAGGACAGTTGCTCCAGCATCATCTTCATGGCCTCCTCTGGACTTGCTTGAGCAGGTCCATGCCCCTCCTGTGCTGGGGTCCCCAGAGCTGAACGCAGTACGGCAGGTGGGGTTTCATAAGAGTAGAGTAGAGGGGGAGAATCCCCTCCCTCGACCTGCTGATCACGTTCCTTTTGATGCAGCCCAGAATACGGTTGGCTTTCTGGGCTGTGAGCACACACTGACGGCTCATGTTGAGCTTTTCATTGAGCAACACCATCAAGTCCTTCTCCTCAGGGCTACTCTCAATCTGTTCTCTGCCCAGCCTGTATTTGCAACTGAGATTGCCCCAACCCAGCTGTAGGACCTTGCACTTGGCCTTGTTGAACTTCATGAGGTTGGCACTGGCCCACCTTTCACAGAATCCCAGAATCCCAAGGGTTGGAAGGGACCTCAAAAGATCATCTAGTCCAACCCTCCTACAAGAGCATGTCAGGGTCTCTCAGAATATTCACGTATTCAGTGAGATCTCTGTGACAGAAAGGATGCTTGTGACTTCATTTAGAAGGGAGGAGGCATATATATCCATTTGATCCAGCAAATCTATTCAGAGACCACGAAAAAAAGGAAGTTAAGGCGGCAGCAAACTAACAACTCACTATTAGCAAAGCTCAACAGCCAAGTGCGGAGCTGACAGAAGAGTCAGGCCAAACAATGTAATCATGAAATATCTGGACAACGTATGATAGGGAATGACTTAAGACTTTATCCCCTCTTTTAAAGCTTCTCTTCAGTGACAGAAGCCTTGGGAGAAGGCAGACTAACCAAATACTAGCATCAATTCCTCTCCAACCCAGACCACTGAAAGACCTTTGGTTACACAGCAATACTCTGCATCACTTTCACAAACAAAGGGAAGTGAAACTCTTTTAAAAATATGGAAAATTAATTTTTTATCTGTGTCCTTATTTGTGGTTTTGTTCCTAGATATGCACGACATGTAGGAGGAACCAATGAATATACTCATACAATATTCTCTAATATTAAGCATCAGTTAAGAAGAATGTATATGAAAGTCAACTGAGCACCTTTCTAAGGTCAGATAAGACTCAAGCCTCACATGATAAGCCATCAGGCAAACCATTTAACCTGTTCCAGCTTTCTAATAACTGAATTTCCCCTTTTTTTATAGAGAACATAGCTATTCAACTGGAGTTAATTTGACATTGTTTTGTAATCCAAAAGTGTTTCATAATTATGTGTTCAGTTGCACACTTTCAAAGGAGCTACAGAGGGTAATTGGGGTTACAAACTCCAAAGGAGAAATAAAATTCTATTTATGTTTTGGATTGCTTCCAGCAAAACATCTTTTTGGTAACTCTAATATGTTCATAACACACAATAAACTTTAGGAATGTGACAAATGTAATTATTTTGCTGACAACATAAATATATGGTCTGAAGCTCAAGTTTCTCTTCATAAGCAGCACAGGCTTGGAGTACGCGCTGCAGGGATATGGATGTTAATTAACATTTTTTACTCAGATATAGTTTGTATAGCTTGTACATTTATTTTATTTCAATGACAAGACAACCAAGGGAAAGAAAGGTTAAATCCTGTTCAAATAAGGTACAACATACAAGAGCAAGCTTTGTATAAGCAACAGATAAATCTTGCTTACTAAACAGTTAGAGAGAAGAAACAAACAAACAAAAACCCACCCACCCAAAACAAACAAACAAACAAAACCAAAAAACCCAACCCAAATCAAATTGCAGAGAGATCTTACTGCTAATGTATGAGGTGTAGTTGACTTATACTGGCCTTCCTCCAGTGACTCCATATAAATTGCCTACCACAATAATTCACAACAGCAAATGCTCTAAGACAAGAAAGACAAAAAGAAAATACAGAAATCTCCACCCAGAAACTATGATGCTGTTAATAATACAGAAACTCAATTACAACCACTTGACTGAATTATTAGATAAGCAAGTACCAGGGAGA